TGTTCGTCCGTTCTATACCATGCCAGATCCTCATGATCCAAGGTATTCGAACAGTTATGACATGTTTATGAGAGGTGAGTAATCATTGATTTCAATACGAGTTATCGGAGAACTCTTTTTATTTCATAACTGTGCATATTAACATTTGTTGGGGTTGTTTTTGATTGTTTTTAGCATATGTGGTATAACATTTGTTGAGTATTGTCCGTTGCAGGTGAAGAGATTCTTTCTGGAGCGCAGCGAATTCACGATGCAGAATTCCTTGTTGAACGAGCCAAGCATCACAATATAGAACTCGAAAAAATCCAAGCCTATATTGATTCGTTTAAGTATGGATGTTCACCCCACGCCGGCGGCGGAATAGGTATTTTATTTCTTCTATTCAATGAAATGCAGTTGTTTCTTTTCCTGCAAGGTTCCTTTATTTTACATTATCTTTGGTCGATTCTAACGCATTTGGTAGAATCTTTCCAAAACTATAGATGAAAAGTTGGGGAACTGTTGAGCTCTGCCGGCAAGTTCTTCTATTTCCACCTGTGGTCATGATTATAATGATGAATAGCTCGTCATTATCTTAACTGGGCGGCCCTTGCGCTCCAGGATCAAGGAACACCTAGACGGGCTAAGAGATCAAGGCCTGAGACCCCCCTGGGTGGTCATCGGTTGCAGTGCCATGGAGGCGCGGAGTTTGAGGTCACTGTGAGGATCCTGACGCGAGAGCCCCACACTTCAGCGCGCAAAACTTTGGAGGCCTTTTGGATAAGCGCTAAAAACCCAAAAATAAACAGGAAAGATGAATGCCTAGCCATAACCAGTGAACTCGCACCTTTCGCTGACCTTTGTGGGCTTCGAGCGCCATCGGCTCCATGCCGAGGGGCTAGGTCATCTGAAGCCACCCACAGTGAGTCAGTCTAGCGGTGGTCTCAACAAAATCCTACCGTACATCTAAGGTGAGTCGACTGGTGATTGTGTTTTACGAACCTTTCCCCCTAGATGCTTCTGTTTCGAAGTTTGAAATGAGGCTGCGGTAGGTCGCACTGATCTCTTGACTTTCCAGGCTCTGACGAAGGCGACCAAGCCGAAACGTTAGCCGAATAAAGTCTTGTAACATCCGGCTTGTGGCTTCCAGAACCTAAGAGAATACCACCGTCATTATTTTATTTCTGGTGAAGGAGTTCTGGAACATGATGTGAAAATAGTGTGTAAGAAGAGGGTAAGAGGGTGCGCGTTACAGCGATAAGCGAGCATCGTCGGCATGCAGTACTCGATGCAGTCCCGGTGAGTTACCTATAACGCCCACTTTTCTCCATTTCACAGGAGCACCAATATTGAGCGGGCGAAGACTGTCTGAGTTTATCATGTCGACCAACACCATCCATGGTAACTCACAGTTCCAAAAGCCCCCTCACCTTCGTTGGACTTGGGAGTCACCTGATGGACAGTTCCATAACGAGATAGACCACATCATCTTCAATCGAAGGTTTTGCCTGACCGACGTCGCTGTTGTTCCGAAGTTCTACACGGGATCGGACCATCGTCTCCTCCGCGCAAAGTTCCACTTTTCTCGATGCGTGTTGAGAGAGCCTCGAAGTTCAGGAAGCGAAGCCCCAGGACAGTCATCAACTGGGATCACTTCGCTTCCCTCGTCAGCTTATGGGAGGATTCCGTCATCGAAAACATCGACGAGGAGTACTATCGGCTCGTTGAACATCTTCACGATTGTGGCAAGAAGGCAGAGAGTTTGAAAGTCACCAAGGGACGTCTGTCTCCGGAAACTCTCGAACTGATACGCCAGCGTGGAGCCGCACGAGCTGCAGGCAATCACCGACTCACGTCCGAGCTTGCGAAGCTATGCAGAGAGGCGATAAAGGAAGATCTCAAGGAGCGAAGAGCAGCAGTATTAGCTGAAGCAGCAGAGGCTGGGAGGAGCATCCGCAATGCCCGCCGAAGCTTTGCCAGCTACAAGACCAAGATGACCTGCCTCCGACGTCCGGATGGAACAGTTACTGCATCCCGAAGGGCAATGGAGAAAGTCATCCACGACTTCTACTCGGATCTCTTCGATAGCCATGTCCATCTGCCCACTTATCAACTGCAACAGGATGGATACGTCGTCCCCTCAGTTCTCTCTTCCGAAGTCCGACACGCCATCAAGTCGGTGAAGAATCGTACAGCACCCGGTCTCGACAGGGTCAAACCGGAACATCTGAAGAATGCGCCGCCAGTTATCATCAAAACTCTGGCTCGACTCTTCACGCGCTACCTGTCGGAATGCAAGGTACCCACTCCGTGGAAAACCAGCAGGACCGTGTTGCTGTACAAGAAGGGAGACCTGGACGACATTGGCAACTATCGCCCAATCTGCCTGCTGTCTGTAATCTACAAGCTATTCACTCGAGTCATCCTTAACAGGATCGGCAGAATACTAGATGAAGGACAGCCATGCGAGCAAGCAGGGTTTCGAAGAGGGTTCAGCACGATCGACCATATCCACACGGTTACAAGACTCATTGAAGTTTCACGAGAGTACAAGATGCCGCTTTGTCTCACGTTCATCGACTTGAAGAAGGCCTTCGACTCTGTGGAGACAGAAGCGGTCATCGAAGCCTTGGGCAACCAGGGCGTCCCTACTCAGTACATCAAGATTCTTCGTGAGCTCTACAGCAACTTTACGACCAGGATCTCACCATTCTACAAGGAGGTCATCATCGACGTCAAGAGAGGGGTTCGACAGGGCGACACCATCTCGCCCAAACTCTTCAGCGCCGCTCTCGAGAACGTCATGCGTCAACTGGAATGGGAAGACATGGGAGTGAAGGTCGACGGCCGGCAACTACACCACCTTCGTTTTGCTGACGACATCGTTCTTATAACGCCGAACATCGAGCAAGCGGAGCGAATGCTGGCTGATTTCGACTGCGCCTGTGGTAAGGTTGGTCTACAGCTGAACCTAACGAAGACGATGTTTATGAGAAACGGATTGGTTCCTGATGCCCCATTCACGCTCAACGGAACGAACATCACCGAATGCTCCAGCTACGTGTACCTAGGTCGGGAAATCAATATGATGAACGATCTAGCTCCAGAGCTGAGCAGGAGGAAACGAGCGGCTTGGGGAGCGTACAAGAACATCGAGGGAGTAGTGAAGAAGACGAAGAACATCCGGCTCCGTGCCCACCTCTTCGATTCCGCTGTCCTTCCTGCCCTAACCTACGCCTCAGAGACTTGGACTCTGCGCAGGCAGGACGAGCATGCGGTCAGCGTTATCCAACGCGCTGTCGAGAGGACGATGCTAGGAGTAACCCTATACACGCAAGTGCAGAGGGGAATCCGGAGTGCCGAACTACGCCAACGATCGAAGATCAGGGACGCTGCCGTTTTCGCCAAGGAATCGAAGATAAGGTGGGCCGGACACGTCATGCGATTTTGCGATGACCGTTGGACCAGAGCGGTTACCGACTGGATCCCTCGGGACGTCAAACGAACACCTGGACGACCGCCGGCCCGATGGTCAGACTTCTTCACGAAAGCTCTGAACGAAAGGAATGAAGGACACCGTGTCCCTCGAGCGAGGAGGGTCCACTGGACAACTCTTGCACGCGACAGGGACGAATGGAGACGTTGCTGGCGCCCGCTCGAGCAATTCGATGATCAACGGGACGACAGGTGATACAGGTGATAATGACACGTTTTATTTTTGGTCACTCTGGTACAGTTCTTCTATGTCCATTATAAAAATTTTCAATTGCTGGGCGCATGCGTAAGGATTCAGAACTGGGAGCAATACTGGTATTGTCCATTCAAAGATGGGTTTGTTGTAACTATCAAGTAACCCATTGTAGCTCATTTTTGAGGGACTTTACTTGTTCGTTTTTTTTTTGCTCATTGCGCTTTGAGCGCTGTTATGGTCTTTGGTTGTGAATGTTAGCAACAAATGATGATGAGCTTCGTTTAGTTGCTAAGACTTGAACGGTCACAAGTACTGTACGTGGTAAAACTAGAAGTAGTACTCCATATATCAACTTAAAATTAACCCATGTCGAGACGCTCAGCTTTTTATGGTATACTTTTAGCTGAAGAAAGAAACCACCTAGTTGCGTTTGGAGTATCGTTTTGAAAAATTTACCTTAATTCTGTACCTGAAAACATCAGATTAACTTATAAATCAAATCACAGAATGGCATCTCGACCCAAATTTCTTGGGGAATGAATTTAAAGGGAAAAGAGTGGATTCATTCGTAGATTAGTTTGGAAATGTTTGCAGTATAAGGCCCTCGTAGATTTGCCGGCCGATATCAAGCGTAGCCGTATCGCTATTTCTAGGTTTACACTGCGCAGGCAAGTCAAATTTATGGATAAAATCGTTTTACACTCTGATTGCAGGTCTCGAGCGAGTAACGATGCTATTCCTGGGCTTGCACAACATTCGGCTCGCTTCGATGTTCCCCCGTGATCCGAAACGAATTACACCCTAAACACCCATGCCGAGTTCTGTTTTTGTTCATTGTTACTCTATTTCTATTATCGCTTTTTCGCTCTTTGTTTTGTTTTCCCGCAAGCAGTATTTCGCGCCTATTATCTGGCTTTGAAGGCGTTTCTGTTTGTTTTGTTCTTTTTTTTTACTGAAATTGTAGTCATAAGATATCGTATTTATGGAGTAAGTAAATGTTGGGAGTGCAGAGTCCGATTATGGTTTCATACGTCTCAGAAACAGTAAGAGAGCTTGTTTGTAAGGTTGGATGCTTGTGCGAGAATCATTCTGAGTGGATCATGATTCTTTTGCAGAAAAAAATTGTGAAACGCCATCGAACAAATAATGGAGCTCACGACTGTTCTAATCCCCTAGAATTGCAGCGCTACGGTCAAGCCTGGCGTCGAGGACAACACATACGACTCTCCCCACTGCGTTGCAGAGCAATCGCATCCCTTAACAGGCCGTCTTGTACGCATTGAAGAGTTGTTACTGGGAAGGGTTAACCTATGAGTATCTTATCTGTTAAAGATCACGTTGAGAATTAAACACGTATTCAAATGACCCTAACTTTTTCCGAGTGGACGTATTTTAAATATGAAAGAAGGTTTAGTAGTTTTTCGACGGTACTTTCCGAAAATACTAGATTGTGGAAATTAGTGAGGAAATACTATTATCGTAAAAGTAACAGGTTTAAGACGCGCGGCTTTTCACACTTTGAAATGTCACAACTTCCTTCGAATGCAATCATTCAGAAAGATTTATATGGCATAATCTATAATAGAAGATGTGCTCTATTCGATGATTACTGTAGTGATTTAACAGCTTCAGTGTCGAGAGTGGGCCTGTTAAGGACTTTTGGTCTGGTATCGCTACTCGCAGAAAGGTTCCTTAGTTACGAGGTCACTCCTTTAGCTTCTCTACTCGAACAATTTTGCACACAAGTGAAAAGGAGCCTCGAGATTTACAGGCTTTCTGCTTTATAATGAGTGTAACTGTGAGGTTCTAAATTACTCAAGTGGGTAAATGTTTATGGAGTTCACGCTGAAAAGTACATTTTGAGTTGTGAGTTCCTCCCTGTCATTTTCTCTTTCGGTCCTCTTGGCGTTCAAGCTCATAGAAGGGAACAGGAACATAGCGCGTAAGCGCTTAGCATAGGCGCTTAGCTCACCGAACTCGCTCAGGGCTGCGCCGTGCACTCGACATCCCGCGACGGCGCGAGTTGCAGTCGGGTGGACAACTGTCGAGGAAATCCTCAACCTCGACAAGGAATCGTATTATACTATAGAAAGAAGGAGAAGGGCATGACTTAAGTGGAAAAGACCAATAACGGACAGAGTATTCTGATTAGGATTCCTGAGTTTCGTTGTTTGACACTTAATTTTCGTTTTTGTGCAGATGAAACTCTCCAAACCGCTTTATGTGATGAGGTTTCGAGTCTTAAGCCCTTCCTCAGGTCTGCAAATGCGAACATGCTAATTTTATCATTGCACGCACCGTCTGACTTTCGACTATCACAGCGCAAGCGCTGCCCAACTGGAAAAAAAAAAAGAGGGCGGAGTTTCTTATGGCCAATACATTCATTTAATAGAGCGGTGTGTGCCTTATTTAGGCCTTATTTTTCATGACCTTTGGGATGTCCAGAGAGCAAAAATTTCAATTTTTTCAACGAAATTTCGATTTTTGACGCACGCCCCGCCCACTGGGGGTGGAGTTTAGCATGGCCAATATATTCCCCTTATAGAGCGGTAAGTGCCCTATTAAGGCCTTATTTTTTCCCTGTCTTTAGACTGTTCTGAAGCCAAAAACTGCAATTTTTTCACCAAATTTTTTCATTTCGACGCACGCCCCGCCCACTGGAGGCGGAGTTTAGCATGGCAAATATATTCCCTTATAGAGCGACTCATACTCTACCCATTCCAAACTTGACCCGCCCTCCCTAGGTGATTTTTGAAGGAAGAATTATAAACATGTGGGGGACACTTGCGAATTTTTGGGGAGCGGTCAGACAAACAAACTCTGGTTTATATAATAGTATGATGATTTTTTTTTCAGTATTTTAGTATTGTCTTGTTGTTTCGTATGCCGTTTTGAATGAATTAATTGGAGAATCGGTTGAAGAAGACAATTTTTCTCGTTTTTTTTCGTCGGAATTTGGAACCAGTGTGCCTGTCAAAAGCAGCAGCTTCTTCATTTTTTAGAATCAAGTGGTACGTCACATCTTTTGCCTGATCTGGACTTCACTAGCTTTCCAATTACCTCTCACCTCACTTGATCAGCTGTAAGGCCGATGTCAGACTTTGCGAATCGCGCGATTCGCTAGCGTCTGCGGTCGCGTCGCGGCCAGTGAATCACTCAATTGGCTGGTACCGCAACGCGACCGCTAGCGAATCGCTAGTAGCGAATCGCGCGATTCGCAAAGTCTGACATCGGCCAAAGATTAAGAAAAGCCTGGGGAAGGAGATGCCAGATTTCTCCAGCGATTTCCCTTTTGCCCAGAGGTCCTCACCCAGCGCAATACCATCTCCCCACCACCTCATCTCGAATAGCCCAGAAGCTATACATGTTGAAGTATTCAATCCACAGTCATCATGACAGAGGTGACTGAATTCCGCTCTTTCTGATGCAGAATTAGACCGAGATTGTCGTTTGTTGCTTCTCGATACTGATGCTGTGCAAATAAACGATGACAAAATGGAGTCACTATTCAACGTTGTCGTGACTTCCGTACAATTTGAGTCAAAGGGTTGCGCTTAGTGTAGGG